AATTTTAATAATTTTTTAAATATATTTTTGTTTTTCTTAAATTTTTTAATTTTTATATTGTAATTTTAATAATTTTTTATTTTTATTATTTATTAATTTTTTTTCTTTTTTTAATATTTTATAATATTATTAAAATCATATAATTTTAATCTCTATAATTTTATCTTACTTTTTATTTATAAGTATAATTTAGATTATTTATTTTATAATTAAATTATTTTTTTTAAATCTTTTATAAGTTTATATAGAAAAATATATTAAAACTTTTCAATCTTTCTTTGAGAGTACCGTAGCAACTAAAAAAAAAAAATATTAGAATGTAATCAACAATTCTAAAAACTAGTTTTCAAAACAAGGAGGTAGCAGGAAAAAAATGCAAGAGGAATTACGGGTGTTATTTTACTCTACATGGAGTATAATTCGATGCCAACTCACATGTCTGAAAGTTAGGCTGTGTTTGAAGTGAAATTTTTACGTAAATAATATTTTTTAAAAGAAAAATTACAAAAATGACACTTGTACAACTTTATTTACAGGAATAGACCTGTTTATTGTTCATGCTCGGAATTTGGTTCCCTGGGAATCGAATTCTGAACTTCAAACTTTTTTTTTTCTTCTCAAAATTCGGTTCCCGATGAATCAAATTCCGAGTTATTTTTTTCGTGTTTCTGGCCTATTTTGGGCAAATGTTGAAAGTGGAACGGCCCGTTCCGAAAGCAGAACGGGCCGTTCTGCTTAAAGGCACAAAGTCTTTTTTTTAAATTAAAACGGCCAAGAACGGCCCGTTCCATAATACAAATTTTGACATTTTTTTGAATCTAGAACGGCCTCTGAACGGCCCGTTCCGGAAGACGTTTCAGGAAGTAGAACGTGTTTTGGAACGAGCCGTTCTGGTTTTGGAACGGCCCGTTCTAGGCAAACAGTGAAAGAAGTATTTTATTTTATTTTTACAAATTCTATTCATAATAATTATCTTGTATATTTCACGAATCCTGATTAATTGATATTATTATAATTTTTATGTTAACAATACACTAAAAATTAAAATTTACTATCAGAATTCAAAACTATAACTCCATCCCAAATTTAATCCTTTAAGGTTAATTCACTTGGATCAAGAAATATCTAATGAATGTGAGTGAAGACTAAAAATTTATTGCTTAATATCCCATTATTTTAACTTTATTATCTTTTTTTTTTTGTAAAAAAAACGTGAATAGTTGATGAACAAAATGCTTATTAAATAGGAGTATAATTGAGTAAAAAGATATTAATTAGACTGTAAAATTCTAATGATATTTCTTTATAAATAAAAGAATGTTAAAATGGCCAAAAGTTTAAGATGAGTGAAATAATATTTAATATTAATGCTTAGAAGTTAAGAAACATTTAATATCAGTTATAAATAATTTAGTCTTTAATTTTTATTCCAAAGTAATTAATGTTTTATAAATTTCAAATCTCAATAATTTCAAGTCGCAAAATATAGTATAAATATTAATTGAGATTATTTTAAACTATGCTTGACAGACGAGAAATTTTCCTATCAGAGAACACTTGGACGGTGAAGTGTGATAATTTGACCCTTAATTTTTTAAATTTAATTTATAACAAAATATATTATTTTAATAAAATTGATTGAATAGTTAAAAATTTATCCGATAATTATATTGTTGGAGAGAATATATTCCCTATAGTTCTGGGCAAACAGTAAAAATGCTAAATTTAATCCTATAATTACTCTTATTTCTTCCTTTTCAAAACTTTTAGTGTTTTAGTCTTTAATTTTTATTCCAAAGTAATTAATGTTTTATAAATTTCAAATCTCAATAATTTCAAGTCGCAAAATATAGTATAAATATTAATTGAGATTATTTTAAACTATGCTTGACGGACGAGAAATTTTCCTATCAGAGAACACTTGGACGGTGAAGTGTGATAATTTGACCCTTAATTTTTTAAATTTAATTTATAACAAAATATATTATTTTAATAAAATTGATTGAATAGTTAAAAATTTATCCGATAATTATATTATTGGAGAGAATATATTCCTTATAGTTCTGGGCAAACAGTAAAAATGCTAAATTTAATCCTATAATTACTCTTATTTCTTCCTTTTCAAAACTTGTAGTGTTTTAGTCTTTAATTTTTATTCCAAAGTAATTAATGTTTTATAAATTTCAAATCTCAATAATTTCAAGTCGCAAAATATAGTATAAATATTAATTGAGATTATTTTAAACTATGTTTGACGGACGAGAAATTTTTCTATCAGAGAGAATACTTGGACGGTGAAGTGTGATAATCTGACCCTTAATTTTTTAAATTTAATTTTTTAAATTTGTCCAGAACGGGCCGTTCCAAAACCAGAACGGCCCGTTCCAAACACACGTTCTATTTCCTGAAACGTCTTCCGGAACGGGCCGTTCCAAAACCAGAACGGCCCGTTCCAAACACACGTTCTATTTCCTGAAACGTCTTCCGGAACGGGCCGTTCCAAGGCCGTTCCAGATTCAAAAAAATGTCAAAATTTGTATTCTGAAAGGGGCCATTCTTGGCCCGTTTTAATTTAAAAAAAAAAAAAACTTTGTGTCTTTAAGCAGAACGGCACGTTCTGCTTTCGGAACGGGCCGTTTCACTTTCAACATTTGCCCAAAATGGGCCAGAAACACGAAAAAAAGAAAAAAAAAATTAAAATAACTCGAAATTCGGTTCCCTGGGAACCGTATTCTGAGAAGAAAAAAAAAAAAGTTTGAAGCTCAGAATTCGGTTCCCGGAGAACCGAATTCCAAGCATAAACAGTAAACAGGTCTATTCCTGTAAATAAAGTTGTAAACAGGTGTCATTTTTGTAATTTAAAAAAAAAATATTATTTCTGTAAAAATTTCGTTTGAAGTCTACTTATAATAGTTATCATACCACGTCAAGATTACTCATAATTTAAGCTAGGATCGCAAAACAGAAAAAAAAAATGTCTCTCAAATATTCCATTTATTTTAGTTTTTTTAAATACTTGTTTTGAAAACATTTTTTAATAATTTAATAAACTTTGTATGAAAAAAATATTTTAAATTCAATGATTGGTTCATTAAAATTTGATATAGAACATAAATTATTGAACGTAATAAGTATAGGTAAATTATTTTATATTAAATGTGAATTTTAAAAATTCAACCGTTAGATTGAAAATTCATATCTCGTAGATTATATATATCAAATTTTGTTAAAATTGAACAACAACTTGAAAGTAATCAAAGTGTTCATATTTTAGTATATTTTTAAATATATATATTACGTCAATTTTGTTTTATAAGAATGAAGTATTAAATCATCTTAGATTAATATAAAATTTGATATATGTGATCTAGGATATATAAACTTTCAATCTAACGGTTGGATTTTCATAATGCATATTATTCCATTTATTTTGTTTTTTTAAATACTTGTTTTGAAAACATTTTTAAAAAAATTAATAAACTTTGTATGAAAAAAATGCTTTAAATTCAATTATTGGTTGATTAAGATTTGATATAGAATATAAGTTATTGAGCATAATAAATTTAGGTAAACTTATTCTTAAAATAAATGAATCATTCCTTATATATATAATTTAATCAAAGTTTAGTATATTATTTGGTCTTTTTAATTAAATCCCTAAATTCATCTTTATATATTAAACATGAACGATGAATTTATGTAAAAATGTTTGTAGGAGTTGTTTTTGACGAGAATATGTTTTGTGATTTTTTTAAAAAAATTATCTAATTTAACTTTTTTATTTGTCATATTTATTTATAACTTAAATTTTGATCTTTTAAACATAAATTATTAATAATCAACTTCTATATATTAAATGTAAATAATTATTTTGTGTGGGAACTTTTTTAGGAATTATTTTTGGAAGTTATTTTAACTTCTTATCTAATTTATTTTTTATATATTTATTTATGCATTAAATTTTAATATTTAAAAATAAATTATTTAATTATAATCTTGTGTTGCAAGTTTGCAATATAAATTATATATTTTTAATCTAAAATATAATTTATATTTATAAAAATATCTATTCATATAAATTTTAAATATATTTTATATATTTAAATATAATATATATATATATAAAGAATTTCTTACGAATTTTAATTATATAGTAAATAATTTGTTTATGAAATACAAGATGCAAGATGCCACCAAAAAGTATAAGTTTTAGTGATACCTTGCCAGAATTCACACATGCAGACAGAGAATGATTCC